TGTCAACACTGGGATGCGCAGATGAGGGGAGATGTGAGTGGGAAGGATGTTGTTGGGAACAGGGGAGTATACGCTAGGACTTAAGATAGGGTTTTTATGCTTTTATTTTGATAATTGAAATTGAAAATAATTTAAAAAGAGTAATGATAAGAATAATAAAAATTTGAGTTAAAAATTTAAAAGTACTGATGTAATATATATTATATTATTAAATTAAATTAATTAAGTATGTAATATTATAAAATTTTAAAAAATAAAATAAATTAATTATTAAATAATATAAAATTTATTTTTTTAATATTTTAAATAATATAACATATATCACATTATTAATTTTAAATTTTAATATTAAATTTTAGTATCATTTATTATTATTCATAAAAAAATTGACATAGATTAAAATGACTGATGATGTGGCACAAACCACACGTTAGATCAAGTTTCATCAACTTCGTGGTTTGATCAAGTTTCATCAACCTGAAATTAGTCGGTCTCCCAACAATCCCCAAAAAAATAAAAGTTTAAAAAAAAAATAAATAAAATTTTTAACCTACTAAAAATCACACCGGATTTTAGGAACATGAATTGGGGTAGGTATCTTGAAACCTCGCGTTTCAGCCAGTAATTGAAGATCACTGAGGTTGGGGGTTGGCTGTATAGAGCTGCGCCGCCACATTCCGCAATCATTTCGGCCATATTTTTTTTTTATTTAGATTGTATAACGGGTAATTATTTTTCATCCCTTATCTCATTCTATTTGCATGCCATGCGACTCGAATTCAAAATTTTTTATTTTCAACGGAAAGAGATAACTATTAAACTATTTAAGTTATTGGCATTTCGATTATATTATGAGTTTCTACTGAATATAAAATAGGAGACAGTTCCAAATATTAAAATCTGATCCGTTTCTGGCTTTCTTGAATAATTGGCCAATTTAAAAGACAACCAGCGAAAATAAAGATAAATAGATAAATAAAACAAAAAAATATTAAAACAAGAAATTAGAAAATAAAATAAAATGTCTTTACAATTAAAATATTAAAAAAGATAATATAAAGACTAAAATATCTTAAAGAATCAACACACAAAAAAAAAAAAATTATTAAAAGTA